GGAATCAATTTGACACTGACAATCTGAGAAGGAAACACTTGATTTTTAATTGTAATACTACATTTCCCCAATAAAAGCTGGATAGGAACAATGGCCTGTCAATGAGAGCCTTAACTACTACACTATCCTGCAATTAGACTTATTTTGCAAAAGGCAAGGTAAATGGTCAGAAATACCACATACTCAAGCCTTTATGGCTATGTATCAGAATTCTTCAATTTGTAAGGCTCCCAAGACTTGTCCTAAAAAGGAGAGCCCCAAGACTGAGCCAGACATGTGAATGATCTCTCTTACAAGGACCACTTGTCTCTCAGGGGCGATCCACAGCCACCCACATACAACCTCTTGCCCTATGCTCCAACCATGCAAGGACAGCCAGAGGAAGAGCAAATTATACTAAACTCGCAATACACCCAGAGTGGAACACCCGACTCAGCAGCTCCCCCAGCGCTGCTGCCTCTCAGGGAAGTAGCAGGAGCAGAAGGGCCAGTTTGAGTCCAAGTTCCATTTTCCACAACTGATAACCAAATAAATAATAACTGATAACCAATAGTGTAAAGAAAAGTTGGGAAGGTACTCTGAGGATGCTGGCAAGTTTGAGATGGGTTCCAAACCCTCACTCTGGTTTCAATTTATCATGGAGAGGTAACCAATTCATTTTAGCAACTTGCTGCGCCCCAATAGGAAAGAAAAGGATTTCTGAAGCCATCTGCTGTGAGGTGGACAATATGTTTGCCCAAAACACCCAAGGCAGGAAACATCATCCAGCACGAACAAAAGATGTAGGCTCGGAGGCTAGGCCAGTGTTTTCACATTTTTCTGCCTGCTTTATATACTAGCACGCTGGCAGCTGATTACATGGTGCCCATTCAGATTAAGGGTGTCCCTGCCTTTCCCAGTCCACTGACTCAAAAGTTAATTTCCTTTGGCAACACCCTCACAGATACACCCAGGATCAATACTTTGCATCCTTCAGTCAGGTCAAGTTGACTCTCAGTATTAACCATCGCACCATGTTCACAGCAGCATTATTCACAATAGCCAAAAGGTGGAACCAACCCAAGCGTCCATCAACATATAAGTGAATAAACACTGGCCAAAGACATCAGAACAGGAGATACCAAATGTACAGAGCTCTCAGAATGGGTTTATGGAGAAAATACAAAACATGCTAAAGTAGAAGATAGGGTGCTGAGAAGAGGAATGACACGAAAGAAAAAAGGAAGATGGAGGGATTTTTTAAATGCCAGAATCATGAAAGTTATTATAAAACAGAATACAATGGCAAAGTAATTCACTGTGGTCTTTTTGTATATTATTTAAACATGCCTGTGATAAATAGGGCATGTGTGTTCACTGATAGGGATCATTTTGAGGTCCTATGGCATTACCTAGACAACTTCAGAAAGGAACTCATACCTTATCTGTGTGATTAGGCAAAGCTCTTTCAAAGACTAAGGTTTCTGGGTTTCAACTTTAAGAAACCACAGCAGGAAAATGCACTTCAAATTTGACCTATCCAGTTTAAAAGATCAGTTGGAAAAGAGTTCCGCTGTAGTGGAAAACAAAACAAAAACAAGAAATGATAAAGAAAAATTCAAGATAGAAAAAGCTAACCTACAGAACAAAATAGTGAAGAAGATAAGAAAAGTAGGCAGTAGCAGCTAAAAATACCAAAGAGGAAAAAAAGCACATTTTGGGAGATTAGTCTGGCATCAGTATTTCAAGTTTCCACTAATCACCTCACATCCTTATACTTCTACCTCAGTCTATCCCTTTCCCTCAATGACCCTGCCTCTTTTTTTTTTTTTTTTTTTTTGAGATGAAATTCACTCTGTAACCCAGGCTAGAGTGCCTTGGTGCAATCTCAGCTCACTACAACCTCCGCCTCCTGGGTTCAAGTGATGCTCCTGCTTCAGACTCCAGAGTAGCTGGGATTAAAGACACCAGCACCACGACCGACTAATTTTTGTATTTTTAGTAGAGACAGGGTTTCACCATGTTGGCCAGGCTGGTCTCAAACTCCTGACCTCAGGGGATCCACCCTCAGCCTTCCAAAGTGCTGGGATTATAGGCATGAGCCACTGCACCTGGTCAACCCTGCCTCTTTAACCAAGCAAAGTAAAAATTCCTTTAATTGTCTGTGTGCCTAAGAATTTTCCACATTCTTAGATATCAAGTCTTTGTTCCTGCTGGGCAACATGGTGAGACCCCTATCTCTAACAAAGTTACAAAAACATTAGCAGGGCATGATGGCATACACATGCACTCCCAACTACTTGGGAAGCTGAAGCGGGAGTATCTCTTTAGTCTGGGAGGTCAATACTTCAATTAGCTGTAATTTTGCCACTGCACTCCAGCCTGAGCAACAGACCCTGTCTCAAAAAAGAAAAAAATTTTTAATTAACAAAAAAGAGAAAATATCCCCATATCCAGAAAAGTGCTCCATCATCAGTCTTCTCTCTTCATTGTATTATCAACCTTTCCCTCTTTACTAGCTTTTCTTCAACATATAAATATACTCAAAACTTCTCCATCTGAACAAAAACTCTATCTCCTCCCTGCAACCTCTTCAAACTCATTAGCCAGAATGAGCTTTCTAGAATACAAACCCAACTAATTTTACATTCTTGTTGAAAATCCCATAGGAGAGTTCTCTATTACCTTTGAGAAATTTTTCAAAATCTTAGGATATTATTTCTGACCAATAAATGTTCCCTCACGTGCCTTATTTAATGCTTATCCAAACTGTAATGTCATTTTCCCATTATACTCTGTTTACAAGAAGAAGTATAGTCTATTTTTCCAATCTTTAAATATGGACTTGGCTATGTGACTTGCTGTGGCTAATGGACATTAGCAAATATGTCACAGCAGAGGCTTTAAAAGCACTTCTGCAATGGGGTTTTTCCCTCTCTTGCTACCAGGAACCTAACTATGATTCATTCTCCAGGAATCAGCACCAACAATATTGCTTTGGATTTCCTGACCATATTCTCAGGTTGAAATACCAGTCTTTTACCAGTGTTTTATTTTTCTTTCCTTTTCTTTTCTTTTCTTTTCTTCTTTTCAGACAGGGCCTCTTACTCTGTCACCTAGGCTGGAATGCAGCAGTGCAATGATCTTGGCTTCCTGCAACTTTTACTTCCCAGACCCAAGTGATCTTCCCACCTCAGTCTTCCAAGTAGCTCGGACTATGGATACACGCCACCACACCTGACTAATTTTTTTGTATTTTTAGTAGAGACAGGGTTTTGCCATGTTTCCCAGACTGGTCGCAAACCAGTGTTTTCTTTTTATCCTCCAATGATCTCTTATGCATACTTGGCATAACCTTTGATTTTTCTTGTCTGTCACCTTCTTTAGACTCTAAGTAAAGTGAAAGTAAAGACTGGTTTGTTTGGCTCTGTCTCAGCACCTTTCACAGTGTTCAATAATGTCTATTAGTTAGTGAATGATATAGATCTGCAACAAAGAAGCACAGAAGGTGATGTAGTGAACCAAATTTGAAACAATAATGACTTGAAATAAAGATTCATGTTAAACATACATAAAACGCAGCTGGTCATGGTGGCTCATGCCTATAATCCCAGCACTTTGGGAGGCTGAGGCACGCAGATCACCTGAGGTCAGGAGTTTCAGACCAGCATGGCTAACATGGTGAAACCCTGTCTCTACCAAAAAATGCAAAAATTAGCCGGGCATGGTGGCGCATGCCGGTAGTCCCAGATACTAGGGAGTCTGAGGCAGAAGAATCGCTGGAACCTAAAAGGCAGAGGTTGCAGTGAGCCAAGATCGAGCCAATGCACTCCGGCCTGAGCAAGAGAATGAAACCCTGTCTCAAACAAAAACAAAACGAAAGAAAAAAACAAAAATTGCTGCTCATTATTAACACTGTTACATAATATCTGAAACCATTGTTTTATGGAGCTTAAAAGAGAATCAAAATCCCAGATGGTTTATCTTCCTCTGGGTCCTATTAAGTGCAGATGTGGATCATCTCACTATCATCATTACAAGAATAAAGCAGGCCCCCCAAAAAAGGCAGTGCTAGAGATGCTGCAGAGAGATGGGACAGAGATGCTGCAGAGAGGGGACCCAAATGTTAATTTAACCACATCTGATCACTGTTCTATCTCTGAACTTTTTTTTGCAAGATGAGTCAAATCCCCTTTTTTATTAAATCCTAATCTTTTCAATTCAAACAGAATAAATTGTAAAACAGCCATGAATTCTTCCTATCCCCATATACATACCACTTTGCAATGAGAATTAATTCTTCTTTCCAAGAAGAATATGGTGTATTCTTCCAATCCTTAAATCTGGGCTTGACTATGTGACTTGCTGTGGCTAATGGTACATCAGCAAATATGACATAGCAGAAGCTTTAAAAGCACTTCTGCCATGGGGCTTCCCCTCTCCTGATCCTAGGATCCTTAAGACCACCAAGTGAACAAACCTGGGCTAGGCTCCAAAAGGATGAGGCTCCAGCAATCTCAGCCAAGGCCACCCTAGGACATCCAGTCACAACTGAGCCAGCCTCAGATTACAAGAATCATCTAATCAACGCAAAAAAGTTTGAGAAATAAATGTTTGTTGTTTTAAGCCAGTAACTTTTGGATGGTTTGCTACACAGTGTTAAACAAATGGATTAAACCTTTGTTTCCCTCAAAAATTCCCATGTTGAAGCCCTAACCATCAGTGTGACTATATGTGTAGATAGTCTGGCCTGTATGGAAGTAAGGTTAAATGAAGCTATTAGGGTGTGGCCCTGATCTGATAGGATGGCTGTCCTTGGAAGAAGAAACACAAAAGAGCTCCCTTGTGTGCTCTCTCTCTCCACCACATGAGAACACAGCAAGAAGGCCCGAAAAACAGAGAGTCCAACCAGAAAGAGACTCTACCAGACCTTGATCTATGAGAAAATAAATTACTGCTAAACAACATTTTGTTATGGTAGCCCAAGGAGAATAACACCTGTATACATAGCATAGCAAATTGACAGAGCCCCACTAATTATTTTTTAAAAGGTTACTACTTAAAAACTACTAATTTGGGTAGATGTCCTTCAAGTTTTAAGTTAATTTATGCTAACTTAAGCTAACATCAGGTTGCCTCCGTTACTATTTGCTCTTACTAGATCAACAAAGTTCTTTTCTGAAAGGTGTCTAAGATTGGACAGAGTGAAAATAGCTTCGGCTACTCAGCAAAGTAGACATTTGCTATGGATACATAGTACTAGAGCAATGCATTCATATTAATTCATTCAAATGTCTGAGCACCGATTTACTTGACAATGGCACAGTAAGGATGAAACAAAATATAGTCCCAACTTTCAACACTACTGAGGGAGAGAGAAAACAGACAATTTGTGGAACAGGAAACTTGCTTTTGTAGCTTCTGTACTCTTAATATAACCAGTATCTTCATATTTTATATATTAATTCCTCTAAATCACTTTCCAAATACCAAAGTCAAGCTTTTATACATTAGTATATTAGAAGCTTCAAGGTACAGCATAGTGATGCTTCCTGCCAGTGAACTGCTTTGTTTTGTTATACCAATACAGCAGTATGTGTGCCATTATTTAACTGTTTTATTATTTCAGTAAATATTTATTATTGCCACAAATTTAATAGTAATTTTTTAAATTCAGGAAAATGATAAAATCAAAAGGCTGACAGCTGTGATCATACAATAAAGAAAAGCTGGAATTAAGTATATTAAAGGCAGGAATCTTTGACCAGCTGACCAGTTCAATTACTAAGTAAAAGACAAAGTATGTGGCTGGGTGTGGTGGCTCATGCCCATAATCCCAACAATTTGGGAGGCTAAGGTGGGTGAATCACTTGACAGGAGGTCCAGACCAGCCTGGCCAACATGGTGAAACCCCATCTCCACTAAAAATACAAAAAATTAGCCGGGTGTGTTGGTGCACATCTGTCATCCCAGTTAGGAGACTGAGGCATAAGAATTGCTTGAAACTGAGAGGCGGAGGTTGCTGTGATTCAAGATTGTACCACTGAGCTCCAGTGGGGGCATCAGAGCCAGACTCCATCTCAAAAAAAAAAAAAAATATGTATATATATATATAACCATAGCTATATATAAAAGTTAAGTAGAAGTAATAAAAGAAGTGGAGAAATCTTGGGAATCATGAACTGTTGATAATAAAAAACAATCCCAGTTATGAAAATCTAAAAAAACAGTCACGGGTCCATAAAAATCTTGATAGGATAATGTGTATTATATATTCCTTAGTCATTTCAAGATGTCAAAATGGGAATTTGAGATAAGAAATTTTTTGTATAAATTCGTCAAAATAGGTAACTCTACTGAGACAGCAAGTAGATTAGCAGTTGCGTAGGACTGGGTGTTGGGGAAAATAGGGTCTGACTGCTAATGGGTATTGGTGTTTTTTTGGGGGGTGATGAAAATGTTCTAAAATTGACTGTAGTGATGGTTACACAACTCTGAAAGTACTAAAAACTATTTAATTGTACACTTTAAATGGGTAAACTATATGGAATGTAAATTATACCTCAAAAAATATATTGCTGATTAAAACTTTTACTTAAAACCCTTAACAGTTAAAAATAAATTGTTAATAGTGTTTAAAATATGCTTTTCTGGTTTTACACAATCATGTCCATTATTTCAAGATTTAAAAAGTAAAACACTTACACCATCGAAGCTTTATGATTTTTACTCCCCCAGAAATAGGACCCTCTCCCTGAAACAGCTGTCCAACTTTTACACCTTTGACTTTCATTCAGATTTTCAAGAACAAATATAAATAGCAGATAGCCTATAAAACATAGCAAGTCCTATAAACAAAGTATGAAGAAAATGCTGAGGAAGTCCAGTAGCTCAAACTCACTATCCTCATATAGCCTACTGTTATCTCTTTAGAGGACTCGCCTGTCAATCTGCAACTTACCTTCATCATGACACTTAGTGCATATTTTTGATCTTCCCGCTTTGCTGCAGCTTTTGCTTCTGTAGCTTCCTTTGCTCTCTCTTGTGCTTGTAAAATAGATTTTTCTCTGATTCTTTGCTTCATCTCTTTGTCAACTAAAATGTAAGGAATGTTGATGAATTAGAATTATGATAAATTTGCTTATGAGAAAAATCTACTTAAATAAACTGATCCAGGATGAGATTTCTTTTCACCCAACTTCACAAGGAGCATGGAAAACATTTTTCAATATTAAACTGGCTAAGAAGCTAATATTAAAAGTAAGCAATTAACTGTCATAATAATGAACGACTAGAGAATGAAGGGAATGGAGAGGAAGAAGAAGGGAAGGTGGAGGGACACAATAGGCAGGTAATGAGAGCGAGAGGGTAAGGGTGAAAGACACATTTATCCTCTTCCTTCTCTGTTGAGAGACTAGGGCTATTTGCTTATAAACCTGATCACAATAAATCAGCACTCTAAGGTCTCCTAGGAAAGATGAGTTGAGATCACCTAAAATGATCAATTACCTTCAAAAATATAAAGCAGTTAACTTACACATAACGAGAGTACAAGAAGAGCCCTAGGAAAAAATATACACAAACTGCAGGCTGTGATCCATTAGTGGGTAAATTATCTTATAGAAGGAAGGATCAGGGCCTGAGGGAAAAGATCTAGGCTTTGAGGAGAAAAAAAGGAGAGAGGAAAAAACACGAGGGGAAGGTAAAGTTGGGGTGAGTAGATAAGGGGTGGGTAGGGGGATGAATCATACCCCAGGCATGGGTTCTTAACCTTTTTTGTGCAGCAGACCCCTTGGTAGAATAGTGAATCCTTACAGACCCTTTCATAATGTTTTAAAATGTATGAAATAAAATATATAGGACTATAAAGAAACAGTTATATTAAAACACTTATAAAACATTAAAAAATAAAACTGTGATATACAATTTTTTATTTATTTTTTTTTTCAAGACAGTCTCTCGCTCTGTCGCCCAGGCTGGAGTGCAATGGCACGATCTCGGCTCACTGCAACCTCCGCCTCTCACGTTCAAGCGATTCTCCTACCTCAGCCTGTGAAGTAGCTGAGACTACAGGCACACACCACCACGCCCTGCTAATTTTTGCATATTTAGTAGAGACGGGGTTTCACCATGTTGGCCAGGATGGTCTTGATTTCCTGACCTCGTGATCCACCTGCTTTGGCCTCCCAAAGTGCTGGGATTACAGGCGTGAGCCACCACTGTTGCTCAAACTGGGATATATTATGTGCTTCTTTATTAATGAGTTAATATACAGTAGCAAGTCTGATACTGGAATTTCAAAGTAGTAACAGGCATAAAAGAGGTATCTCTGATATGAACATATTTTTGTTTTTGTTGATACTACTTGCTATGGTCTGAATGTTTCTGTCTCCCTAAAACTCACAGGTTAAAATCCCAGCCCTTAATGTGATGGCATTTGGAGGTGAGGCCTTTTGAGTGGTAGTAACCTTATAAAGAAGGCCCCAGAAAGCAGACTTGTCTCTTCCACCATGCGAAAACATACAGTATTAAGAAGGTGCCGTCTAGAGGAAAGTGGGCTCTTACTGCACATCAACTCTGCCAGCACCTTGATGTGGACTTCCCAGCCTACACGACTGTGAGAAATAAATTTCTGTTGTTTATAAGCTTCTCAGTTTATGGCATTTTGTGATAGTGCCCAAACAGACTGATACCACTCTTGTTTATTGCCTATCTTCACAATTAAAGAGAATCTTAAATTTCAGTTAGAGGTAAGTAAAAGTCTATAATTTTATTCATCTAGGACCTTAGCTAAGAAGTAGGACTGAAAGTAGGTCTGAAGCCTCTTCTCATGCCTCCTCCTGTTTAAAAACAGGAAGACAGACAGTTGAGTCAGCTTCAGGGGCAGAAGGAACTGGAAGAGCATTAACTTCCCAAATTAAACACTCCACATCTAACAGAAATAAAGAGTGGATCACGAAAGAACTTCTAGAAAAAAATAAGGAAAATTAGAGTCTCAATAATGAGGCAGATAGTCTTGGTATATAAACTGGAGTTCCACAATATATTATGTGAAAAAAATTGTTAAATAAATAATCCCACTGAACTGCAGGTAAAACTGAGTTTGATTTCTTTTTTTTGAGACAGGCCATGTACTGTCACACAGATTGGAGTGCAGCAGTGTGAGCAAGGCTCACTGCTGCCTCCAATTCTTGGGCTCAAGTGATCCTCCCACCTCAGCCTCCCAAGTAGCTGAGACTATAGGCACATGCCGCCATGCCTAGCTAATTTTTTTTTTAAATAGAGGTGAAGTCTCCCTACGTTGCCCAGGCTGGTCTTGAATTCCTGGGCTCAAATGATCCTCCCACCTTGGCCTCCTAAAGTGCTGAGATTACTTTAGGCATAAGCCACTGTACCTGGGAAAACTGAGTTTGATTTCTAAAGGAATCTCAAACCTGGTTTCTGAAGTAGAATCGATGTTCATTCATTGTGATTTAAATTAGTTGTTATTTGTGGATTTTTTTCTTTTTTTCTGAGATGGAGTCTTGCTCTGTTGCCCAGGCTGGACTGCAGTAGTGAGATCTCGACCCATAGCAACCTCTGCCTCCTGGGTTCAAGGGTTTCTCCCGCCTCAGTCTCACGAGTAGCTGGGATGACAGGTATCTACCACCATGTCTGACTAATTTTTGTATTTTTACTAGAGAAGGGATTTTACTATGTTGGCCAAGCTGGTATCAAACTCTTGACCTCAGATGATCCACCCACTTTGGCCTCCAAAAGTGCTGGGATTATAGGCATGAGCTACCTCGCCCAGCCAGGAAACTGATTCTTTAAAACTCTTTAGATAATCTGGGACTCACTAAAAAAAAGTTAAGTAAACTGACTATGTTAAACTACCCTAACCAGTATTCTCTGAGCTGAATACCCTATCTTAGAAAAAGAAATTCTACATTTGTCTTGGAAATTAAAAATTAAATTCCACTATAAGATACCAAGAAAGCCTTCTACCCTCAGGAGTCCATATTCAAGGCTTAATGCCAAAAGGCCCGGCCTAGCCAACATGGTGAAACCCCCTCTCTACTAAAAATACAAAAATTAGCCGGGCACAGTGGCGGGTACCTGTGATCCCAGCTACTCTTGAGGCTGAGGCAGAATTCCTTGAACGAGGGAGGCAGAGGTTGCAGTGAGCCAAGATCGCGCCACTATTCTCCAGCCTGGGCGACACAGTGAGACTCTGTCTCGAAAACAAAAGAAAAAAAAAAAAAAAAGAAATTCCAGGTAGTAGGTCAGGTGCAGTGCCTTATGCCTGAAATTCCAGCATTTTGGGAGGCCAAAGTGGGAAGATCACTTGAGCCTAGGAATTCAAGATCAGCCTGGGCAACACAGAGAGACTCTGTCTCTACAAAAATAGAAATAATTAACTAGGTGTGGTGTTGCACAGTTGTAATGCCAGCTACTCAGGAGATCGAGGCAGGAGAATTGCTGGAACCTAGGAGTTTGAGGTTACAATGAGCTATGGTAACATCCCTGCAATCCAGCGTTAGTGGCAGAGTGAGATCTTATCTCTAAAAATCCCAAAATTAAAAAAAAAAAAAGAAAGAAGTTCCAGGCAGTAAATATAAAGTATTATAAAACATGACAACTAAAGATGGAAGAAGGAAAACAGGGCAAAATCAGTAGAGGGCAATTACTGACTATCAAAGCTGATCTTGATATAAGTACAAACTACCTAGAAGTAGCTCAGTGAAGCTACAGACAACTAGCTTTAAAACTGGGGATTTCAGGCCAGGCACAGTGGCTCATGCCTATAATCCCAGCACTTTGGGAGGCCAAAGTGGGCAGATCACTTGAGGTCAGGAGTTCGAGACCAGCCTGGCCAAAATAATAGTGAAACCCTATCTCTATTAAAAAATACAAAAACTAACTGGACATGGTGGTGCGCGCCTGTAGTCCTAGCTACTTGGGAAGCTGAGCCAGGAGAATCACTTGAACCAGGGAGGCAGAGGATGCAGTGAGCCAAGATTGCGCCATTGCTCTCCAGCCTGGCAACAGAGTGAGACTCCATGTCTCAAATCACAAAACAACAAGAAAAACTGGGGATTTCAACTTTGGCTGCACATTATAATCCCTGGAAAGCTTTTTAAAAACTACCAACACCCGAGTCCTATTCCCAGAAACTGATTTGACTGGTCTAGGGTGAGTTTCTGAGGTCTGCATTATTATTATTTTTGAGATGGAGTCTTGCTCTGTTGCCCGGACTGGAGTGCAATGGCACGATCTCGGCTCATTGAAACCTCCACCTTCCAGGTTCAAGTGATTCTCTAGCCTCAGCCTCCCAAGTAGTTGGGATTACAGGTGCCCACCACCATACCTGGCTAAATTTTTTATTTTTAGTAGAGATGGAGTTTCACCATGTTGGTCAGGCTGGTCTCAAATTCCTAACCTCAGGTAATCCTCCTGCCTCAGCCTCCCAAAGTACTGGGACTACAGGCGTGAGCCACCGCACCCAGCCTAGATCTGTATTATTTTAAAATTCCATAGTTGATTCAAATATGTAGCCAGGATTGGGACATCTGCTCTAGAGTGAAACTGCTAAGGCTCTAATTTCAGCCTGACAGTTACTAGCTGTGTGAGTCTGCCACTTACTCAAACTACCTGTGTATCAGAAAGTTTGAGTAAACTTTCCCCTGTAAAAAGAAAAAAGGGTAATAATACCTAAGTGACAGGTTGTTTCATGGAATTACAGGCATGTTAACACCTAAATGTAAGGTTAAGTACTCAATAAAGGCTTTATATCAGCAGGGCTCACCCTTAAGATATAATCCCACATCTTCTGTTTAATGTACTCTAACTTTGTCTAATTCAGCCTTTAGGTTTATTTAAATGGCTGCTGAAGCACAATATCACTTAAATGAGGCTCATAAGCCTTTTTTTTTTCCCTAAAAGAGCAATTGAAAGAGTTCAGGATATGCCACCCAAAATATGCTGCTTTGATATATTGATCATTTTGAGTTAAAGGCACTTGAAAAACAGCAAATACAGGCAGAGGTTTTCTCTGAACTCTTATCTGCCTAAAACTAGATTTTCCAAAAGGAACTCAAGTGTCATAAATCCCTTCCACTGGAGTTTCATTAACCAGGGAATATTGACTATTCTCCCAAAAGAAGAGACTACAAGTCAACACCACCCTCTGACAAATTTTGTCTGTCATATCTCCTATCTATTCTTCTAAAGGACCCATTCATCTTTCCTAAAAATAATTTACTGTTCTAAGTGGCTTACATCCCCTCTCCCTTCCCCTATTGACAGTCCGTCCCTAAGCTCTCAAATCTCAATGCTTGGGGGCTATTCACTTTTTTCCCTGTAATGCCCCCAAGCACTAATACTAAAAATTAATAAATTTCTATACACTTTTTCTGTCAATCCTCCTGTTGTTAGCTTATTTCATAGACCCAGCTATCAAACCTTGTAGAGTAAAAGGAAAGTCTATCTGGCCGGGTGCAGTGGCTCACACCTGTAATCCCAGCACTTTGGGAGGTGGAAGCGGGTGGATCACTTGAGGTCAGGAGTTTGAGACCAGCCTGGTCAACATGACAAAACGCTCTACTAAAAATAAAAACAAAAAAAATTAGCCAGAGAGGTGGTGGGCACCTTTAATCCCAGCTAGTTAGGGGGCTGAAGTGGGAGAATCATTTGAACCCGGTGGGCAGAGGTTGCAGTGAGCCGAGATCTTGCTACTGCACTCCTGCCTGGGTGACAGAGCGAGACTCTTAAAAACAAAAACAAAAACAAAAAAGGAAAGTATTTTTCCCCCTACACAATAATATATGTCTTTCAAAAGAGAATTTTTTAAAAGGTCTGAAACAAAAAAGGTACAACCAGATGAACATCTTTTAATAAAGAACTTACCACCTGTCACAGAAAGGGACTCCCACATGGCCGCTTCTTTTTTATACAAGGTGAAGACAATGGTGTCATTCCCAACCTTTGCTTTGCTGTTCTCGTCGTCTATGGGAGCATAAAGAAATGCCTCAAATAAAAATGGAGGAAAGTTGACCTATGCAAAAGGGTGAAAACGGAAACTAAGTTAGTTGCACAAATTAATCACGCTTAAGAAATACGTGAAAAAGGTAAAATAACTTTCTAAAAGGCCCACTAAAGTTATTCCAGGTAGTGAAAGATTAGTAAAAGTAGCCTCTGATCTGATCTGATGATATTTCTACAGATGGTGTGTCACCTGTATGGGATTCATTTTTTTAATAGGATTAAAAATTTAGGACTTTTATCGGCAAAGATGAACCTGTTGCTCGTGCCCAGCCGCGCTCTTGCAGAAGCTTCGGACTACACGCCGGGAGACCAGCAGGCAAGGCTTGCATTCTTACCTTCAGATAGTTTTCCGTGCAGAACACGTCTGTGTCTCTGATGCACACGCCTTTGAGGGGCAGAGAGAGAAAGACCGCAGTCTTCGTCTGCTGCCAGCTATAATCGCTAACCTGAAGAGGCATCCCGGGAGCGGAGAGCTTGGCGGCTTGCTGCTTGCGCCTGCTTGGTTGCTAGGGAAGCTGGGGTTACCGTGCACCACCCCTTCCGGGTCAGACGCGCAGGGAGCCCTGCGTTCCCAGCGTGCTCGGCGTCACCGCCCCGCCCTCCTATCTAGGCGCACAGACCGGACTGTGATGCCAATTCTTCGGGTTACATTATTCCTTACAGTCTGAGCGAATGTTCACAGAAGTAGGCCCATATCCTCTGCTTAAGAAAAAAAAGCACTTCAAGCCTGATAATGCTAAGGAGGGCTGTGGGCTTAAGGCTCGGGAAAGCAGCCCATGAGGAGCAGGTGCAACGCCCATACGCCAGCGGTGCGCTGTTTTGTCTGTGTGTTCTGACCGAGGCTCTTAAGAAGTAGCACCAGTTGTTCTGTTTTGGAAATTTCTTGGTCATACAGACTGTGAACAAATGTGAACCTGAAAGAGGCAAGCCGTCAAGATCCAGAGTGGCTAATTGGGTCTAAATTTAAAATAGAGCCACGTAGCCATTTACTGACTAGAGGTCACACATGGACTCTGCATTCCCAGCAAACACACACCTCTGTGCAGTGATGGGACTTGTGGGGCTTACCTGTCTCAACCAATCGGGGCTCAGCTGTATCAACCAATCAGAACTAAGTATAGTTCAATCCTTCATTTGTACAAACAAACCTGATTGGGAACCTGAGCAGAAACTTTTGCTACAAAACCCAGACCCTCCCTTTGTTCTCTGGAATGCACCTTTGTTTTATATCTAAGGCTTCAACTCCCTAGTTTGCAAACTATTCACTGAAATAGTTGCTTCCTTCCAAATTCCTCTTCAGAGAACTTTTGTTCACAACACATACTGGGAGCTCGTCTAAGCTATTGTATCCTGCAAATCCTATCAACTCTAAGGCTGCCAAAAGCACTTATGTAGGTTTTACACTAAAGTTTGAAAACTGGGGAGAAACGACCTTATGATTCATTTGACAAATGCTTTGCTACAAATCAGGAGTAGGGTAAATTGGAATTACACCGACACATTCCACAACTGCTTAAGTAGATTTGAACTTTGGCACAGCAGAGAAGCTTGAAGATTATGTAGTCTTATTCCACATATTTAAGGAATCTGAAATCTATACACTTAAACCACTTTCGTATAAATTAGTAGCAGACCATCATTAAAATCCTGATCTCTTAACTCCCATTCCAATGGTTTTACTCCAGGCTGTTTTCTGTACACCCAGTTTATAAATTACTGGGATGTGATGCTAAAACAGTGAATGTATACAACATTTAGCATTTAGGTATATACAAGTTACTTGCCACTTGGGGCTTTTTATTTTTAACTTTTTTTTTTCTTTTTAACAGGGAAACTGGGGCTTTTGGGAAATCTGAAAGTATAATATATAATCCTGGATTTTAAACTTATTTACTTTTGGAGGCTTTTCTTTCACACAAATTTCAAAGCTCCTTAGAAATTCCTTAAGGAAAGATAAGAAGCAACAGACTTGAAGAGAAAACAATCTTTTTCCCCACTCAGGGCACCCTCACTATAGAAGTTCATCATCTCAAGCTTCTAGTAACTTTGTTTTTGGGGGTTTTGTTTTTGAGACAGAGTTTCACTCTTGTTGCCCAGGCTGGAATGCAATGGTGCGATCTCGGCTCACTGCAACCTCAGCTTCCCAGGCTGGGATTACAGGCATGTGTCACCGTGACTGGGTAATTTTTGTATTTTTACTAGAGACGAGGTTTCACCATGTTGGTCAGGCTGGTCTCGAATTCCTGACCTCGTGACGCACCCCCCTCAGCCTCCCAAAGTGCTGGGATTACAGGCATGAGCCATCCTGCCCAGCTGCTGCTGGTAACTTTGAATACTGGCAGTCATCCTAGACTTCCTTTCCCTTGTCCCTTTAAGCTTCGAATCCCATGGATTTTTTTTTTAATTGCTTTTGTCATTTTCCCCCTTTTGTTCTATTACCACTTTTACCGTAGTTTCCAAATCTTATGTCTTCAAAAGACAGGGTTTATGCATTTGTTTCATATAAAATGTTAAAGTCCAGGTTCTCCTACTATATAGAAATATAAGTGACATTATATATTAATGAAAAATAATATAAAGGATATTTTGTGCTGTTGGGGATTTCAGGAAAATCTGTTAGCAATCACTTTGCTAAACACATATACATCTCTGCAGTGAAATTATTCTCCTTACTACCATGATCTTGCTAAACTTTTAGACTCTGAATGAATTATACCTTAAAAACTTGACGTTTTATTACAGAATCATTACATCAAGTGACACCAATTTAAAGCATCATTAATTTTTATACATTGTCTCATGATTTAGGTACTTATTTAAACAGAATTTCACAAGCCTTCACACTAACTCAATCTTAAAGTCTTAAACTGTATTTCTTACTAGATTTTTAAAAACAAAAAGCTCTAGTCTCACTCACGGATAGATAGAAATTTGATAGATGCAAAAGTGGTTCTGCATGAAGGTGAGGGAATGCAAAGAAAGAAATGGCTATACGTGGTGCTGGGAGAAATGGTTACCATATGGAAAAAATAAGATTGTATCTCTACCTGGATATGGTGTCATACACAAAAATGAAGGTGAACCAAAGACATAAAAATTGGAAACTTAAAAAACATTAGAGTAAGAAAGGATTTTTTTTAAAATGGATTCTCACTCTTTTGTCAGTCTGGAGTGCAGTGGCATGATGTCAGCTCACTGCAACCTCTGCCCCCCGGGTTCAAGTGGTTCTGCTGCCTCAGCCTCCTGAGTATCTGGGACTACAGGCACAATGCCCAGCTAATTTTTGTATTTTTAGTAGAGACAGGGTTTCACCATGTTGGTCAGGCTGGTCTCAAACTCCTGACCTCATGATCTGCCTGCCTCGGCCTCCCAAAGTGCTGGGATTACAGGCATGAGCCACCACACCCGGCCTAATTTTTGTATTTTTAGTAGAGACAGGGTTTCACCATGCTGGCCAGGATGGTCTCGATCTTTTTTTGTTGTTGTTGTTATATATATATATATTTTTATTATTATACTTTAGGTTCTGGGGTACATGTGCAGATCGTGCAGGATTGTTGCATAGGTACATACACGGCAAGGTGGTTTGCTGCCTCCATCCCCCTGTCACCTATATCTGGCATTTCTCCCCATGTTATCCCTCCCCAACCTCCCTGGTCTCAATCTTCTGATCTCATGATCCACCCACCTTAGCCTCACAAAGTGGTGGGATTACAGGCATTCGCCACCGTCCTAGCTGGATTTCTTAAATATAACACAAAAAGCACTAATCATAAAGGCAAAAATTAAAAACGCACTGAAATTAGGAAGTGGTACTCACTAGGCAAAAAAAAAGAAAAAAAGAAAAAAGAAGTGATGCTCACCAAAAGGCATAATAAAGACTGTTACGATCTCTAAAATGTGCCCTTCAGCCAGAGACACAGGGACGTTTGCAGTTGAACAAGTTGAATTTATTGCTCACTGAGCAAGAGCGAACACACATCATGGGATGTCTCATTAAGATAGTGTTAGCATTTGGGGGAAGGTCTAAGGGAGGTTTGGTTCCCCATAGTCTGGGAGTTTTCAGAAAGCAAGAGTAATTCTATTGATGGAGTTTAGGACATGCTATCCCAAGCTGTGGCACTTTAATTAAATTATTAAAATTTAAATATTTAGAAATTAAATATTTTAAGCTAAAGGAATTGGAGGAGTCTCTGACCTTTCCCTTCCCTGGTCCTTCTCCCATGAAACAAGTCATAAGACCCTCATGTAAGAAGTGTTCTCCCTGTACTCAAAGGAAAGAAGCATCCCTCCAAATAAAAAATCTGAACAAACAAGGAGTGCGAAGGTCTCCCCAGTGTACTACACTTAGCTCATATCCTTTGTGTTATTACATTTGCCTATGACTTTTCATTCTCCATCAAACCTAGCATAAAAATGCTCAGGTTTAATTATTTCTTCCATTCTTCATTTCCTTATGAAGGCTCCCATGTCATGTACAACTTATACTGAATAAATTTGTATGCTTTTCTTACAGAGGCCCCAGTCAAGAACTTAGAAGGGCAGAAGGAAAAGGTATTTTTTTCTTCCCTACATGATGATTAGTAAACAAGTAACTTTTACCCATTTTATCCAGTAAAAAGGATATCTGTTAATTTGTTGGTGACACAAAGACCTTGTTTTTGCCTATGCTTAGATAATATTATGAAGTGGCCTTACTGTCTCATTTTATTATGATCTCAGAGTACTTTTATCTCAGCTTGGTATTCTATGAGACTGAAATTGTTTACGTTCAACAGAATAATATCATGGCCAAGCTGTGAGTGCCAGGTCAGCTTCTGAATATCAGGGGCTGCTTTTCCCCCCCTCTTTCTCAATAATCAACGGAGAACATACAAACACAATATAGAAAGATAAAGAAACACAACTCCACAATAAAATGGGCGAATTGGCATAATCTTATTAATGTGAATACCTGCTTATTTTATAACTAACAATTCCACTCCTATGGATATTTCTTAGAGATTCCTAGCAAGTTTCTAGGTGATGCTGATGCTTTGTGAACCACCGTCCTACAACAGGGTTTTTCAACCTCCACACTATGAACATTATAGGCTGGATAATTCTGGATCATTTAGGCTGCCTTGTGCATTTTCGGATGTTTAGCAACATCCACCCTCTTAATTCTAGTAGCACTCCTGAGATCTAATAATAGAAGTGTCTCCAGACATTGCCAAATGTCTTCTGGGTTTGGGGGGATGGAAATAGCAAAACTTCCCCCATCTGAGAATAACTGCCCAAAAAAAGACTTCTATACACTAGGAAACATTTAGAGGTGTTCATAGCAGCTTCACAGAAAAAACCTGCAAACAAGCCAAATGTCTTTCAGCACGTATATACACAAAACAGAATATCACACAACAATAAAAAAGAGTGAACGATAGCTATACATTGGATGGATGAGTTAAAAAAGCAAGAAATGATGTTCTTAAGGAACAATGCCATTTTATAAGACTTTTTTTTCCTTTCTTTTCTTTTTTTCTTTTTTGAGATGAAGTTTCACTCTTGTGGTCCAGGCTGGCCCAGCTCACTGCAATCTCCATCTCCTAGGTTCAAGTGATTTTCCTGTCTCAGCCTCCCATACAATTTTAATTGTATGTGTTTATTTTATTTATTGTTTTATTTTATCTTAGACAGTCTCACTCTGTTACCCTGGCTAGAGTGGCATAATCATAGTTCACCGTAACCTGAACTCCTGGCCTCAGGTGATACTTCCAAAGTGCTGAGATTACAGGCATGAGATACCATGTGCACCCAGGACCTTCATTTTAATTCATATAGTGTGACTATGTGGCAGTCAGTCCTGTTGGTTACCACGAAGAGTCCCACTTGCATGAACTTCACATAAGAGTTAACCACTGTCCTTTCTAGTGCGTACCTTTACAGATAACCCCTGACTTATGATGGTTCTACTTCTATTTCCTAACTTTACAGTGATGCAAAAGCTATATGCATTCAGTGAAAACCATGCTCTGAGTATCCATACAACCATTATGGTTTTTCTCCTTTTTTTTTTCTTTTTCCTTTTTATCCACAAATTATC